CCCCCCCCCCCCCCCCCCCCCCCCCCCCCCCCCCCCCCCCCCCCCCCCCCCCCCCCCCCCCCCCCCCCGGCCCCCCCCCCCCCCCCCCCCCCCGCATTTTCCCAATTGTTTGCATATAGCGAGTAAGAAAATTTTCTTGTGTTCAGTTCAGTGGAAAATACCTTATGAATAATTTCATTATGCAGACTTTACCGATGCATGAAATGTATAAGTATGATTTCATAACTAGCAAAAATCGAAAAAAATCTAGTTTACCGCTCTTAAGATCAAATTCGAGTTTTATCTAAAACAAAATTTCTTATTAATTATGACTATCTTGAATTAGGTCAAAAATCATAGTTTATGAAGGTAAAAATATCCACCACACTCATATTTGCGTTCGTCCAAATTTCAGATTACCTTTTTCATCGCCTATTTTTTTTCACTCTCTCGCTCTCTCTCCCGAACTCAATCAGTAGTCCAATAAGGTTCCCGATCATGTTGTACTAAAAGATCATTTTCCAAATGTAAAAGTAATAGATTCTTTGTTTTGCAAGTGCCTTTTGAAAGTAAATAAAATTTATTTTAACCTTAGCCAGGGATTATTTCATTCTTTTCGTTCTGGGCGTGTGTCTTTTCTTTTTGTATAGCCCATTTCTTAGGTGCGAGACTACTCGTTCGAGAACATGTCATGCGTCGAAATAAAAGAACGCCAAGCGTCCGTTTACAATATATATCAAGTGCAAAGTACGATCGCTTTTTTCTCTTCTTTCTTCGTTTCGTTCTTTCGTTCGACCATTTTTTTTTCACAAGGCCACGAGCAATTGGTGACTGCTTTATTAATATTTTTTGCTTCATAATAGATAAAGCAAGTACTTTTTTTAGATTTAAACAAAAGTTCATTGAAACGATGTCGAAATCATCAAATAAAGTACCGTTAACAGACAAAGACCGACGTAAACAAATATCTATTCGTGGTTTACCATTACTTGAAAATGTAACATCTGTGAAGAAAACATTTAATCGTCATTTACATTTTACTGTTGTTAAAGATCGTAACGTAGCTACAAATCGTGATTATTATTTGTCAGCAGCTCATACGGTGCGCGATCATCTTGTCGGTCGATGGATTCGTACACAACAACACTATTATGATAGTGATCCAAAACGTGTTTATTATTTATCATTAGAATATTATATGGGACGGTCACTATCGAATATGATGGTTAATCTTGGCATTGAATCGGAATTAGATGAAGCTTTATATGAAGTACAAAAGTTTAGCTTTTATTTGTTGATTTTTATTTAATTGCTTTTTCTTAATTCAGCTCGGGTTGTCAATTGAAGAATTAGAAGAATTCGAAGAAGATGCTGGATTAGGTAATGGTGGCCTTGGTCGACTTGCTGCTTGTTTTCTCGATTCAATGGCTACATTAGGAATAGCTGGTTATGGTTATGGACTACGGTAGATGGATTTTTGCTTGTATGCATATTTTTTTATTGTCTATTTTATTTCAATGTAATCAGTTACGAATTTGGTATATTTCAACAGACAATTAAAGATGGTTTTCAATGCGAAGAACCTGATGATTGGTAAAAACATTTATAGAAAGAGTCAGTAGATTTTTTTGACAAGTTTTTATCTAGGTTACGTTATGGAAATCCATGGGAAATTCCTCGTCCAGAATATCAAATTCCTGTTAATCTTTATGGTCGTGTCATTGAACAGAATGGAAAACCAAAATGGGTTGATACAAAGGTTTGAAATTTGATGAAAAAAAAATCAATTTTAACTCTGGTTTCTATTTGTCCTCAGGTAATCATGGCTATGCCCTATGATACTCCTGTTCCAGGCTTCAATAATAATGTGAGTCATGGTAAGAAGAGAGAAAAAGAACACATACTTAATTTTGATGTTCTAGGTTGTCAATACACTTCGGTTATGGAGTGCAAAAGCAGCACAAAAATTTAACTTTCAATTTTGTATGCGACTGCCCTGCTATTCTTTATTTGTGCATTGATTTGTCTGTTTTGTTTAGTTAATGATGGCGATTACTTAAATGCAGTCAGCGAACAAAGTTTAGCTGAAAATGTAACCAGAGTACTCTACCCAAATGATAACGTAAGAGTGCAATGTTTGTTTTTATTGGATTAGTAAACGTACTATTTCTATATCTAGTATCGGCAAGGTAAAGAACTTCGTCTTAAGCAAGAATATTTTCTCGTCGCTGCTACTTTATCCGATATTATTCGACGATATAAACATTCGAAATTTGGAGTTTCTTCAACAACTCGAGATGATTTTGGTACTTTTCCAGACAAGGTAAAAATTAACTTCCGGATCGGTCAATGAGTTGAAAATTGACTTAACCCAATGTTAGATTATTCTAAACTGAATAAAAAAAACTTTTCCCATCAGGTTGCCATTCAACTTAACGATACTCATCCAGCATTGACTATTGCTGAATTAATGCGTTTGTTAGTCGATATTGAAGGTTTAAGTTGGGATGTCGCATGGGATGTAACGAAACGAGCATGTGCCTATACAAATCATACGCTGATGCCCGAAGCTGTTGAACGATGGTCAGTTGGTTTATTGGAACATGTCTTACCACGACATTTACAGATTATTTTCGAAATTAATTTATATCATCTTCAAGTGAAAAAATAGGAAATTTGTTTTTCTTGATTTAATATTTGTTGAAATATTTTCAGGAAGTTGCGGTTCGTTATCCAAATGATGTTGGTCGTCTTCGTGATTTATCAATTGTTGAAGAAGGTAATGATAAACGTATTAATATGGCTTATTTAGCTATTGTTGTAAGTAGAAATTATCTATTTTTTGGAAAAACCCTTCTGTTTTTAAAATAATTTAGGGATCGCATGCAGTTAATGGTGTTGCAAAAATTCATTCCGAACTTCTTAAAACAACTCTGTAGGTATTTTTCTACCAGCTCAGCGCGAGTTCATTTTGTGTTCTTTTCTAGTTTTAAATCATTTTATGAATTAACGCCGGAAAAATTTCAGAATAAAACGAATGGTATCACGCCTCGTCGTTGGTTGGTTCTTAGTAATCCAAATTTAAGCGATGTGATTGCTGAAGTAAGAGATCTTTTTTGTTTGCCAATGGCAATCTCAATCAATTGATTTCTATAGAAAATTGGTGAAGATTGGATAACTAAGCTCGGTGAACTTGCCCGTTTAAAAGACTTTATTAATGATGAACAATTTGTACGTGAAGTTCAACAGGTTAAACAAGAAAATAAACATCGTTTAGCAGAATGGCTATTAAAAACTCAGAATCAAAAAATTAATCCAATGTCATTATATGATATGCAAGTTAAACGTATCCATGAATATAAACGACAATTATTAAATGTATTACATGTTATTACATTATACAATCGTATTAAAGCGAGTCCCGATGAAAAATATGTACCACGTACTGTTATGATTGGTGGAAAGGTTCGAGTTGAAAAATGTTTTAGTTTTATCTATCCTATTTATTTTCATTCTGAATAGGCCGCACCGGGTTATCATATGGCAAAGAAGATCATTAAATTAGTAAGTAAAAACAAAACTGAAACGTAAATAAATTATCTATTTTCTAGGTAAATAGCGTTGGTAAAGTTGTAAATAACGATCCCATCATTGGTGATCGTCTTAAAGTTGTCTATCTTGAAAATGTAAGTACTCTATAGTATAAATACAAGAACGTTTAAGACATAAATCAACTCTCCTAGCTTTATTGGTTTCCTTTAAAACCTTTATGTTTAGTACCGTGTAACAATGGCTGAGCAAATTATTCCAGCTGCTGATTTATCAGAACAAATATCACTGGCTGGCATGGAAGCAAGCGGAACATCAAATATGAAATTCATGTTGAATGGTGCCTTAACAATTTGTACATTGGATGGTGCGAATGTTGAAATGGCTGAAGAAGTTGGTAATAAAAATATATTTATCTTTGGTATGACAGTTGAAGAAGTTGAAAAACGTAAACAAGAAGGGTAAGAAAATACGATGGCTTCTATAATATTTGTTTATTTATTTTTTCATGCAGATACAATGCAAGATACTTTTATGAAAACAATCCTGAACTTAAACAAGCTCTCGACCAAATTCAAGATGGATATTTTTCACCAGAAAATCCGGAATTATTTCATGATGTTGTCAATAGTTTATTAGAAAATCATGGTGATCAGTATGTTTTCAGTTTAAAAACATGAGAATTGTTTTCAATCATTCTTCTTATTTTCTAGTTACATGCTTTTAGCTGATTATGATAGTTACATTGAAAGTCAAGATAAAGTTACCGAATTATTTAAAGTAAAACATTTATACTGTTCTATTTTGGCATAATGTATTCTTCTTAGGATCCAATAACATGGACGAAAAAATGTATTTTAAATATTGCTGCATCGGGTAAATTCTCCAGTGATCGTACAATAGCGGAATATGCACGTGACATTTGGGGCGTTACACCAAGTCTTAAAGCTTTACCACATCCACATGAAGGCCGGCCTGGTACGAGAAATGAAGGCGAAGTTCCTACTATTACCCATGGTTCATCAGCTTCACTTCATGAACAAGGAAAAAAATAAAACATTAATCAAAATAAATCTTTCTCAATATTAATCACGTAGACGAATAGCTAATATGATCAAGTAGTCTATAGGCTTTCATGGAGTTTATTTTATCACATGCATTCAAAAAAATAAAGTTTCATATGCCGGTGGAAGATCTTGTTGACTAGACGATAGAATAATAACCGATAAATATTCATTTTGATTGTGCTTTTTACGCCGTCGAAGCGTGTATTGACGAATAAATTCAATAATATAAGCAATAATTATCGAAAGAATTAGTACAATAGATAACGGATATAGAAGAATACTGATACCATCGAGCATAGCGTAGAATGATCAATTTAAGCCCATATAGGAATAGAACCAAAGAGAATAGTATTACTTTTTTCTCATGTTCATGTCTAAAATGAACGCTAGAAATATTTAATACAATCAAATGGAGAAAAAAAAGTCCGTTTAGTGCGTTTCGAATTGAACTTCTGAAGCAAATCAATCACTTTTGCATCAAGGAATAGTATTCAAACAAATGCGTGTCAAAGTCCTCCTACTCAAGAACAATAGAAATCGTTTTTTGCGAGCTATTGTTTTTACATGAAACTGTGACATCACTCATATGAACTACTAGATTTTACGGTGTTCTTATTTGTTGTAAGTTCTTTAATGAAGACCTAAAGCCTTGCGGAGAAATAAATCAATTTATATGAAAACTAAGTAATATACTGCTAATCGAATTTATTTAGAGATAAGCTTTGAGTGTCTTATTTTTGTATGAACAAAAATATAAACATCGCGAAAACCATTTCTTCATTCTATGAAACACTTACCATTTGCATGAGATTTACTGAAGATGAGAAAAAAACAATTATAAATTTTCGCTTGCTCGATATAGTTTTATTATCGTTTGTTCGACACATCGAATGAGTTCGTCTAGATATGTCTTCTCTCATAGCTTATGATGCATGATGTAAATAATGTTTTCTTATCTTAAGACGAAAATCTACTAGTTTCTTGATTAATGATCAACTTCCTGTACTTGAAGTATTTATTCCGACATATATAATTGATAGGAAAACACATCCTAGTTAACGCCTTGAAATTATCACTCAGCAGAAAACATTCCAAGTCTATTTAAAAACGTAAACAAATAGTTTTCACGGCATAAGAACTAATGTTAATCAATTGTACGGCTTGATATGCTTTAATCCATCGACAATTATTTACAAAACAAACCAAAAATCAATTTATTGATTAGTAATTATAGAAAAGTACATAGCTAGAAAAATTATTTTCGTTCCATTTCACTCCATAGTTCAATTACATCAGCCTTGGCTTTTTTTGTGTGTGAGAAAAAATCAAGTTTCTCTTTTCGTTTTATATAATATGCTAATTTTTTCAATGATTGATAATAATCCATTTGCTCGAATAACCACATACATTTACCAGCTTTATACAATCGAACAGGCCAATACGACCATTTTTGTTTGTCATCTAAGTTCTCAAAACATCGACCATGTTCAATATCCTGAAAAAGAATATTTATTAGTGAATAGCTATGATTCAGAAAATTAAAATAGCATACCCAGCCCCAACTGCTAACCATCAGATATACACCACGGCGAAGATCTCTAATAAATTCTCGATTTTCTTTCAGGTCAAGAATAACATCTCTCGGCAATTGAAAAGTCGCATCTCGACTACTGATTTCATCAACTAAAATAAATACATATTTTTTGATATTAACGAACTTTCTGATTCGACTAATAAACCAAAAGAGAGCGTTTTAATAAATGATTGATTTCAGAAAGAAAAAACATAATCAATCTACCAGTCAATAGAATATTAGGAGATTTCATAGGGAATAGTGGCTTCATTAGGTAACTCACTAGGAAACATCCACCAATCGTAGTGATGATTATGAAATGCGAGCCAATCTCGTTGTTGATACCATTCTTCAAAATATTTTAGTTGCCGTTTAAAATATACGAGAAGTTCATCTTTTCCAATGAACGAATCTGAATCAGATTTTGGTGGTGAGGACGATGACGTTGTCGTTCTTTCATTGTCCGTATCACCTCCTTGTGCTCCAGGACTCAATTTAGATGGTGTAAACCCATTAGTTGTCTCTGTTGGTTGCCTATTCGAATATCTATTTGTGTTACTCATAAAATTTATCTTGAATATTCAGCATTTATAAGTAAGAAAAAAATAACATAACAAAAGAAAAATCCATTATTAAAAGTCTGAATGCGGTATCTGTTTAAAAAAATTTCAACACACAACTTTTTCTTCTTTTTCTTTTTTCTTATCTACATTAAAATAGTAAAAGGCGGAAAAAAATAAGTTTTTATAAAAAAAAAAAAAGATGAACAAGATTGTTTTCGCGTCATAGATAACACGCACTCGTTTTCAAGTAACCCTATAATAATATTAATATGCATCAAAAGAACTATCATCCATTCTTCCATTTGATGACGGTGACGGATCAACCGGTGATTGATGAACATTTGCTGTTGTTCGAGCATATGCCTAGACAATGAAATTCTTTTTTGGTATGTCTTTTATAAATACTTTTCATTTACTTACAAGCGGATAATTTATCCATCCAGCTCCACTTGTCATATTTGGATGTGAACTTGGTTCGATATCTAAAATGAATATTCGACACAGTCATTTGTGTTTATATCTATTTTTAACTAACATTGAGTAGAATGCAATGACGATGATTGTGCACCTGCTGAATTGTTCATGTATGATGGATAATTCATGTTCATACCAAGAGAATGACACTGTTCAAGTTGTTGAGTAATACCCATCAATCCTCCTTCTTCAACACTGGCGATAAGCCAAATAGGATCTTGAATGAAAAATGATAAAGTATATAATTACTAATAGATAGTATCTATATCTACTGCGAATACAAATTTCCTTTTCGATGCGAAAAATCAACTGAATAGATTTTGTTTGTCATCTTTTACTTTTTTTTCTGTTATGATTTACGCAAATGAATCATTATTTTGCTTAGGAACGAAAAAATCAATATATCAGATAGTATCTCGAGCAATTACGTCCGTGTAATTATGCTTTTCATTAAAAAATCGAGAAGTGATGTTTTCAGTCAAAAAGAATTGCAAAGTCTTAAGTGACTATGTTAGATCAACCGTTCTTTTCGTAAACTTTACATAAATAAGAAACATTTAGATACGAATGAGACAATAGTTGTTGACAATTTTTTTTGTGAAGTGCTATTAGCAGCCATCAAAGTTAGTACATCAATGTTCTATATGCATGAATGCGCATGAAAAACCATAAAAATAAACAGAACTGTTCTTGATATGGTCGATAGTCAATAGTATATATATATATTGACAGGTAACAAAGACTGATTTCGTGACTATATGAAAGACATGCGTACATTTTTGTTGATATTTTGGTGAAATTTCTTCAATTCAAAGATATTATGCACAATCCCGTAATGAATCATTACCTTCGATCAAATATGCCGATGAATAAATCCAGGCCTGGTTTTGCATACGTCAGAAATTTAAATTTTGAAGAAGCCGTTGGCACCACATGGGGAAACCTGAACGCTCGTTTCGTTCGATTAGATCCGGCTATCAATCAAATGTCGGCCACAGAAATCGAGCGAGCAGACATTGATCCATCAGAAACCTTGGCGAGCTTCTATCCAGTCGTTCGCGTAGGTCCAAACTACTTGCGATACTGTGGAGGTGCACTATCTCAAAGCGAAAGACCGAGGTATATAGGGGAACCCGTTTTGAAATATACATCCGGAGAAGGTTGGTTTTGCACTACGATCAATTTAGCCTTAGCTTCTGACACACCTAATCTAAAAAGATTCAGTACTTATATTAAACAACTAAAGCATTCGATTGCGAAACTTCCAATATATTACCATGGCACAGTCATGCGAGGTTTGATTTTTATGTTTAACAGAATAAAAATGCAAAAAATGACTTAAACTATTTTAGGTATGAATATGTCTCGGAGCGAAGTTACTGCCTATGAAACATTAGGACGGCCTTTTTACATTCCGAGTTTCACATCAACATCGAAAAGTCACCCATTTGGTGGCAATACAGTACTACATATTGATTTATCTTCAGGATCATCAAAAGATTGCATGGAAGTTCCACCGCAATTTACAACGTACCAACACGAAGAAGAAATTCTTTTGACTTGTTATAGTCGGTACTCATATGAACGAACAGAAAAATCGAATGGACAGCGTATCATCAAACTTCGACTTCTCAATTCTCATAAGCCTATTCCAATATACGGATGGGATAAACGTAATTTTTGGTATTAAGAACAAGAAACGCCATTTTTCTAACTGATACTTAAGTTTATTCAAGCAGGATGTATCTTTTTTATGTTTTTGAATCTATCTTATGATCTTTTTATATATTAATTATCAATATATGAACTGATGAATGCAAACTTATTTTCAAGGATACAGGCGAGAGATAAACAATAATTTCAATATGTAGTTACCTCCAAATGGCACGCCAGCCGGTGTAAATAGTCGCCATTGTGATCGAATAATACGTGATGCATTTGGACTCGCTATATTAACTGAAATATTTGTTTGTTCACCGGGCGATAATGCACTAACATAGATTTCATCTCGATCTTGTAAACGATCACCATTAACAAAACGTAATGAACAACTATTGGGCCATCGTTCGCTACCTTAACACAAAACAAAAGACACGAGCCATTGGTTTAAAAATTTCACAGTACAACAACATGAAAACAAAAGAAAATATTTACCAGAATTTTCAATTCGCCACGTTTTAACAAATCGTGTACTAGGCGGAATGGCTTCGCCTTCTCCTACAGTGACATCAGCAATAAAACGCATTTGAGGAAGTTTATCTGTTGGCATTTCAGCATCATAATAAGCCAATATAGCTTCATTTAAATTCCTAAATATTTATAGAAATTTGTATTACAAATAAAAAAAAAGCCCGTTAAACTTCTAATATTTCATCATATTTACCAATTACTCATTTCTAGAAAGAATCTACACCCTTCATCGGTTAGCATTGCATTAGTTGTTGCACGAAATTGTGCAATTAAATCTTCACGATTACTCGTTGTTATTGAACGTAATCGTTCCATTAAATCTTCATCTAAACTTGATATACCAGCTAGTGATGCTAATGTGTCAGAATCAATGTCCATTATTAACAATGAAATATTTTAAAGAATGTTAAAATCTAAAAGTCAAATTTATTCATATTTATATATTTATAGTCATGTTTACTGATCACATAAAAAAAGGAAGAGAAAAAAACACCAGTGCGAGAGAACTGCAGGGTTTATGAAATCACATCTTAATGACGATATTTGCTTTCGTTTAAACAAAGAAAAAGAAAAATCTTTTATTTCTTATTAGTAAAATGAGATCAAATATATTCATATACAAAAAAATCGAAAGTCAGAAAAAAAGGAGCACATATAATAGAAGTCATTTGCTTAATTCTTGAAGAAGTATAATCAATGTATATATACATTCAGCGCAGTTGACATCGCCGATTTTAAGATATTATGAACATGAAATGGAATGAAAATAAAGGCTGAATAGGTAAAAAGTGAAATAATCAGAAGAAGCATGCTTATGACAAGAACTCGTTCCCATGGCTCCATAACATAGAGCGTCGTTGTCAATAAAAATTGCATATAAAAATGCTGAAATGCTTCTTCTAATTGATAATACCAAACAGATCGCTGCTGCTGCTGCTGTTTTTTATTTGTTTTCTATACGCAAAAGAAAGAAAAACAATAGAAAAGTCTTTCATCGATGTTTTATTAATGTTGAACATTTTCTAATGTTACTGACATAAATCGGCCTTTCTTTTTTAGTTAATTAAACAAAAAGATTAGCTAACTTTGCACAAAGCTGTTTTTATTACCCAAATGTCATCATTGCTAGATGTCATTGAATCCAAATATGATGTCCGTGGCGTTATATTCATGGTACGCAGACAATAAGTACTTTATGGTATTGACGCTTACGCACAGGTAAGATATATATATATGGTTAACGTACAGAAAAGACGAAATAAGAAAACTATGTGAGACACAGAGCAATCAAACGATGATGTCGAAAGAGAAAGGTTAATACGTGTGAAGTGGAAAATGGCCGGAAGTCTATTTGTCGTTAAGAAATAGGAAAAAAAAAGTGGGCCAAGAAATAAAGGTAAAACGATTGAATATTAGACGTGAAAAAAATAAGAAGAAAGGAAAGCGCGAAACTACGATTGATATTAAGTAGGCATAGTTCAAAATATGCTGCGATGGAAGACGAATAATTAATCTGTACAAAATGAAGCAATAAAAAAAAGGAAACCAAAGGAAAGAAAGAACATTATTCTCGCGCTGTCAACAACGCGCAGAAAAAAATGTCGATCACGCGCACACGACAAATCATCACACAAGTTATTTCTTACAAAATAAAAACAAATAAATAGTTATAACCTCAAGTATTGCTAGTTTTCAACGAAAATAAAAAAAATTTTGTATTTAACAATATAAATAAAGAAAACATAAATTTTCATCTTGTTTTGTTTTTTATTTAAATCTCATCGAGATGTAAAGCCGCAATCGAACAGTTAGACGAAGCACTTTAAAATTAATTTTAAAAAAAACACAAACAATTCAATGTTTACGACACATTTATTACGAAATTAATTGCATTAGTGAACGAACATGATGAGGAAGAAAAACAAATGCCGAATAGATAGCTGTCGATAATATGCCTATCAGTAATGTTGAAAAAAGTAAACGTTCCCATGGCTCCAGCATATATAGGGCTGTATTAAGTAAATATTGTAAATAAAGCCAATGGATAAATTTAAAGAAACGACGTATATTTGAAAACATTTCTAATCCAGTTTTATACGTATCTAAAATAACTGAAATACAAGGACATTATCAATAACAATAAAATGACCATTATCGAAATAACAGATAATAGACACAAGGACCTATACTATAGAGAAATAAATAAAGAGAGGAGAAGAACAAAAAACTCATTATGATTAGACGGTTTTCTAGAGCCAAACAAATTAGAATAAAAATATGTCTTTCAATTCATAAACATTCGCAAATACGTGAAAAACATCGATTAATAGTCATAGATTAGGATCAAATCTACAAATAAAGCAATCTATATATGTCGTACATGAATTAAAGCATGTATGCCGTGAAAGAGTGACATCTGTGAAAAATTTAACTTTTGGATACACCAACATTTTGATCTGCAATAAAAATTCAATGTAAATTGATCGATTTTTGTTGCTTTAAAGTAACAGATAGTTTGATGTTATTTACATAATTAAGAACAATATACTTTTCCTTGAATATGATAGTTAACTGTGGCTAGTGAGGCATGTTAAATGTGTGTGCAGGTGATTTTCAGTGACGCTTCCCATAATAAGGCAAATCATTAGAGTTAGAAGATCAGTTTTACATTATTTATTTGAGGAAAATCATAATGTAATACGAATCAATCATAAATAAATACTACATAGTGATTTTCATATCAAGTTTTCTCCTTTACAATTCTTTTAGAAGCGTAAAAACTTGATCAACTATTTTTTCTGTTTCTTGCAAAAGTTTAATGAAATCTTGTTTTGTAGTATCCGAATCTGATAATACTTCAATCGTTGTCATCAGTTTTGAATAGTTTCGAGTCATATCTATTAAGCCATTGCGGATTTCATGTAATTTTTTTTATATGCAGCTGCTGCAATCAGATAAACTTTTAAAGAATTTGTAACGTCGGTACCAGAGAATAATCCGAAGCCGAGCCCTAAGAGGCCAGCAGTGGCACCGGTACCTGTCACCAAACCGAAAATAGTTCTTCATCGTTTCAACGCTCTTTTATCTTTTTATTTTTCTTCTAAGATCGGACTGAGGCCTTGAAATTCTCGGAATCAAAGAGATAAAGAAAAAGGCTTGCTAACCAGGATTGCCAGATAGAAGAGTTAGACATCGGATTTTTTAGATTGAAATTCAGAATCTATTTTCTTAAAATGTGGAAAACAATTATCTAACTTGTTGATGCATAAGTTTGTCTTATTCTTTTAGGAAAGCATGTAGAGAATTGGAAAAAAAGCAAGAAAAAGTGAATGATATAATTATATGGTCATTCGGTTAAAAACATTTTAGTAAAACTGCATATTTCCTTAAACTTAAAATTGAGTTCATTTCAAATAACACCAATGAAAGCATGATTCAGAAGACTGAAGCGACCAGAAAATGTGCAATAACAGCTCAAACACAATCTATTATCCAATGATTCTGAGAAAATCAAGATGACGCAGTAATAGATAATAAAAGTTATTTTTAGATGTAGATTTTGTGGTTGTATTTTACGTGTAAACTTCATACACGAGTTTGATGGTTCAATCAATGTTCGTGAAGACAACTTACTAGTTTTTCCAAGAGTGATTACATGTTGCATGAGGCTTTTTTTATTTCTAATATTTAGTTAATGTAAAATCATCCCGGTATTTATAAGAAATATAGTGAACAATCTGCTGAAAACGTATATAAATTTGAGATTAAATGACTCAAACCGTGCTGGAAATAGAGACAATAATCGATCAACAAAAGTCGCAAAAATGATGGGGGGAAACCGGCGATTGATTGATTGGTAATTCTTTAGCAATTTTTAGGACATGGGAACCTATGCACTCAGTTCTTCTCAATAGAGAATGTGCTTGAAAAAAAATTAAAATAAAACGACAAAAAAGAACGCGAAGCAGAGAGGAAAGGAGCACAAAACGTGCCATTTGAAGAAAAAAAGCAACCAAATTACGTTGTAAAATTTGTTTTCAACAAAACACATTATTTGGTTCAGCTATTAAATCTTTGTAAGTAGAGTATTAGGAAGATTCTAAAAATAAAAGTGACTATATGAAATGTTCTGTATTTCGTGCCAGGACACAGGAGATAGTCTATCTCTTCGTTTATTTTGCTTTATTCAAGATAGTGTAACTAGAGATTCAATGAGATCAGGCAAAAACAGGGAATTTCTATAATCGTAAGTTCAAGGTGGGATAACAATAACGGTAGGGAACCCTTTATCCACACTGAAATAACAACTTTAATGAGACAGCCTTTATCACACCCACGCCCTCACATATATATACCAACATTCATACCAAATAGATTGCAATTATTTGTGTCAATTTTCAACAACTCGATTAAAATCAGATTTTCCTCGACTATTTTTACATTTATGTATTGCTGTTAATGCTGACCGTTCATGATATTCCTTTTTTATGCCTAGTATACTTGTGTCGCATTCGAAGGTAAAATATTTTCAATTCCGCCCACTGTATGAAAGTCGGCTGCTAAAACTGAACAATAGATTGATTCGTTTAAGTGACATAAAATAATATAAGAGTCGAGAAAAAAAACTCCGCCAGACACAATCTAAAATAACAACATGACACAGAGAGTGTTTTTTCTCAATGTAGAAAGCAAATTTTCAGATAACATCTACCATTGATCAATCCAAACAAATTAGCAATACGTTGTGTTTCCATCACAACATTCATTTCGTTTATAGAAAGGCGCCCCTTCAGTGTCAGCTTCGACTTCACCAAGAGTCGATACCATCGAGCCGAACAATAATCATTTAGAATACACAATTTATATTTATCAAATTTCTCATCATTTTGGATGTCTGCTGTGAGTATCAAATCTCCATCAAATAAAAGTAGGATATTGTTAACTATCGTCTTGAGTTTGCAGCTACCTGCGAGCAATAATAAGGAGAATATGTGGCACGTACAAACCATACGCGTACACTCTCAGTTACGGCAGTATTGTACACATTCTAACAATGGTGGCCGCATCAGCGTTTCAAATAAAAATTGAAGCTGAGAAGAACAAGAAAGACGCGGTATGGGTTGTGTTCTCGTTCCTTGAGGACAGAAACTCTCAGTCACTCAGTCTCATCCTGTAAGTTCATGTACACAACAGATTTTCATAAAAAATAATGCGTATTCTCTAACAAGTATAAGTGCAAGTTAAAAAATAACTCAATTTTTCTAAAAAGAATCTTATAATTATTATCTCTTAAGTTAGCGGTGGTACTTGTGTTTTTATATGAATATTGACACATGATTCTACAAAACTAGCAAATCCATTTTAATTAATTTCTGACTGTTGACAAGTAACTTACTTTAGCATTTGACATTGATTAGGATGTCTTTGTTTTTACGAGAGATAATCTTTCGAGTTATTTTGAATATTGTGAGTTTTATCCTGTTGCCGTCAATGAATTGTCAAACATAATTAAGTCAGTGTCCTCTCCAAGGGATAAACATAATACTTCATACTTTACGTACTTTAAGATACTTTAAAATACTTTGACGTACTTTAAGATACTTTAACGTAATTCATTGTAGTTCTTTCTTTTTTACGTAGCTTTTAAGTTGAATTTTCTATAAATATCGACACTGTACTAAACAAATACAATTTATTAATCAATATTCATGGCATACGGTATTTTATGGTATTGGAGGTTGCCATTGAACTCTTTAACTATGTAAGAATTATGTATTTTATTTGAAAACAAAGTATTTTATTCAATAAATAATTTTCTATCAAATATACAATTATTCTATAAAAACTTAGGATTCCTACTGGCAAAAAACTAAACTGTTATGTATGTATCACAACACTCGCTTTGTCTCCATAAATACCTATACGTCAAAACAAATTATAAACAATATGAAATTATTGTTTGGGTTTTTTTTGTCTTTGAGAGTTTTGGTGGTCATATTTTCATTTCTCATTTGTACCCGAGGGTGATGTTGAAGTTAAATTTACTGGAACATCTGATGAAACTGAAGCATTAGTTGCTAATGTTAACGAATTTGATAAACTTATTTGCCGTAATTGTAACCGTGCTTTATTTTTCTTTTTTAATTCAAGTATATTTAAACATTTTGAATCTTTCAAGTGCTTGTAAAAATTAGAAAGTTGAAATTTAGGATCATTTTTTCCTAAATTTATTCTAGTTCCACACTTGCAATGAACAGTTCCTTGTAGATTATCATTTGGATTTGAAAAATCAAACACAAAATCAATCCCTTCCTTCCAATCAAGTTCATCCAAATTTAAATGTTCCTTATTATCATTACACCATTGCCGAATAAAATTTAATAAATATGTTTTGTGTTCATCCAATGTTAATGGTGATGATGATAATCCTGATGCACTAGATGGTGGTTGTGACGCAAGTATTTGTGCCGAATCGATTGTAAAATTTTTTATAGATTTTGTTTTTTTGGATTTGAACATTTTTAAAAATTCTTCATTTTTTTTCAATAAAGTTTCTCTAAGACATTTGAAACTGTTACAAATCCCAGTTCGTAAGATCAATTGGTTATTTTCAATCGAACACAAACTTCTTTTGTTAATTTTTCTAATTCTGGATCATCAATATCTAATAGTAGCATATCACATGGATCTTCTGTTAACAGGAAACATGGTACACTATTGATATGTTGATATTGAAGTATACGAGCGTGCAGAGAACCCAGAAAGGTTTCGACAAATTTATAAAATTTTTCATCTGTGTATAATAAAATTTCAGGTGACAGATGATCAATATTAAGATAAAGATTGGTGATCGACATAAGGGCAAATAATTCAAAATAAAGTTTTAAGATATAAAAAAATTAATAAAAAAAAGTCAAGAACATACTAAGACCCCAAACTTGCAACAAAGAACAGAACGCAACAAACGCATTACAAATGTGCGTCCCCTATCGAATGCATTCGTCTGTTTCGAACGCGTTGTTTATTTGTTCTCCTCGCCATGGGATTGAAATTACAACTATTGAGAAAGAAAGATATTTCTGAAGAATTACTACAACGGATGATACGACTAGCCAATCACAAAGGTATATTATTTACTGGACTGGTAACTGTATATTGATTTAAGAGTTTATTAGTGTTTAATATGACGCTTCTGTCTTTTAGATTGGTGAATTAAAGTTGGGTTTTTGAAGATCGGTCATACGGGTGATATGCTTGATAATATTCTAATATCATAATTCTGTCAACCTGGTAGGTAAATCGAGATGATGATCTGAAATAAAAATAAGAAATGATTGTTTATTTCAGTGTTGCATATGTTTCTCGTTCTGGTTAAATGTCAAATGAATTAAGTAATATTATTTCTTGCTATTCAGATAGTCTTTATTAAAGCATTGCAATTGGTGAAGATCAGTAATTTAAAAGTTTTTATTGTTAACAATGGATCCTAATATAATCGTCTTTAGCTAATTCAAATCAATATCAAAAGACAACATTAATCTTTATGCAGATGATTCAAAAGCAAAACTAAATGTTTTTTTTATGAAGTATGTTTTATTTCAGTCTTTTCATGTGCAAATCTTATAAATTTAAATATCTAAACACGTTGATAGTATTGAAGGATACCATATATAAGAAGCTATTAAATCTAAACGTATTATAAAACAAATAATTGTTTAGAGTGTCTACACATGTGCATCAATTTTTACATTTGAAGTTCGATTTGGTCATACTGGATCTGGATTGCATGCTGATAATAACCATGAAACAGTAGTTGCACACAACAAAATATTATGATAAGCGGGCTATTATTTACCGAATAGTTTTGATGAACTTCATGATGCAGTTCAGTAAGAATGAATAAACATAATTTTGTAAAAACTTTCAATTGAATTATTTAGCATGGCATTTGAAGATCTTGGAGGTTCTAATCAGTTAATATATAAACTAGACTTATTGCTACCATCACCACTAATAAATTATAATCAACCTCAAATAAAATAAATTCTTATTTTTATAACTATTCTCCATTGGAATTTGGTTTAATCTGTAAACTAAATCGTTTTATGACAAATATTGTTGATGATCGTAGTCAATAATTATTATATGCTTGTTTTTTTGCCTGAAAAGTAACTCTTAAAAAGGTGCATAGAAATCTAAAATCTAAATATATCTTAATAATACGACTTGAGTAGATAACTGAAAAATATAAATATGTTTCAATAGTAAATGTTTTTTTATTGCTTTTAGATGGTTTTATTCAAAAAGGTTGTTTTAATAAAAAATCAAAATAAAGTTGTTCTTCATGATTTAAATCTTGATAATGTAAAAAAGATCATGGATCAAAATGAATTAAATACTGTTTTATTAGATCGAACACGAGGTCGATTTTTATTTTATGATTGTATCGAACATATTGCAAATAAGTATGAATTATATGATATAAATGTTTTGTCTAAAAGCAGTGAATTATTTGATGCGGTTTTACTATTAAAGTCTGATGAAAATAAAATAAAAAATGCAGTTGAATATGCTGAAAATTATCGAATAGATTGTATTTTATCAATAGCAAATGAAAATAAACAACAAGAAAAACATTCTTCTGAATTTTGTGCTACAACGATTAATAATATTAATTTATGCGACATCAATGAAGAACAACATGAAAAAAATCAAATAAATTTCGAGAAAACAATTCTTCAATATGATGATAATGATGACGATTCATGTCGACCAACATTTAATGATATTATAAAGCTGAATGATGTCGAAATATCGTTTTCAGATGAATTAGAAGATGATGAATATGATGAAAATATTATGAATGAACAAATAGAAAATGATGTTAATGATAAAAATCCAATGATTCCAGTTGATAATGATCGTTCACATTGCTATGTTGTTATTCCATTTGATGATAATCATTTTCATTCCAATGTTATTAGTAGTCAAGATACATTTGAAATTATTAATACAAAGGATCTTACAGTTTCTGAAAAATGTATTATAGAAACTCTAGCGAAGCTTTCAAATAGGATGATTTCTTTGGAGGAAAACATAAACAAACGCTTAACTGACTTCGAAAATCATATCAATAAACGACTTAGTGGATTCGAAAATCATATCAATAAACGACTTAGTGGATTCGAAAATCATGTCAATAAACGACTTAGTGGATTCGAAAATCATGTCAATAAACGGTTAAGCAGGATAGAAAATAATATGAACTTGATTTATGAAAGACAATCATTACAATCTTTGTTAAAATTATTAGATACTGTTTATCTAATTACATGTGAACGATTGGAAAATCGAACATTTTTTTCAGATAAATCTGATTTAACATTAAAATTTTTTCGTTTTGTATCGAAACAGTTAATTAAAAATTATTCAGCTCAATGGTCGCCATATACTAATATTATTAAAAAATTAAGTTTAAAACCAAAATGTCTTGAGATTAATTTATTAGGTTTTGGTAAATTGCAAAAAAATCTATCCGAAAATAAGAAAATATCTTTTATTGAATCACCAAAACTGTTATGTGTTGATAATACAACAAATTATAGATCATCATATGTTCGGCATTGCAACACAAATCTTGGTAAACCTTTTACACATGTATTAGTTTTTGAAGGTACAACTTCACCTGTACATTTTGAAATAGAATTGTTTAAAAACTCGAATTTATCATCGTCAGATAACAAAATTATATGGATGAAAAATTTGTTGCGTAAATTATTGCAATTAGAACGAATCATATTTTTTCTTTCTTTTTATTACAAAATTGATTTATCACAATTCTTTGCTGGCCTCATATGTTTTCATTTTTATCATAACTCTCATATTGACACGAATTTATTATTACAGAATGTCATGTCATCAACATTCGTTGAAGCTGTGCCTCTTTTACATCGTTTATATTTAATTGATCAATTTATCTTTACCTATTGAGCAGATAAGCACATCAAATTATTTATCATGGATACGTAAACATTTTATTTCAAACTTTTCATAACTAATCATTAGCGATGACTAGTAAAACAACACAGTTACTATTGATTAGTTTACCATTATCATGTTTTTCTTTTATTCATTCTTTAAAAAGCATCTCATTTTTTTTCTGACACCAAAATAAAATCATGTTCAGATCAAACAATTATACAACAAGTTACACAAGGCTCTTTCCATATCTTGTATTATTTCCATATATTCGGTTGTATCTAATTTTTGAAAGATCATAGGAAACAAATATTCTATCATCTATTTCGCATATAACATAACTATTTTTAATAATGCATCGTAAGATCCTCATGTGATTTTATAACATTCAGGTCAAACTTAGAGAATTTTCTTGCAATTTGCCTTTCACTAGTAACTCTGTTTTATCGATTTAGCCAGCCTTTAGTTCTATATGCCTCTTTTGCTGTTATAGAAATTTGCTACTTTTCTTTGTAACATGAAATATTAGCATAAGAGATAAAAAAAAATACATTCATATAATGACTACCTCGTTCTTCCTTCTCGCCTCAGTGCTCTTATTTCGTGCTTCTCTCTCCCCTTTTCTTTCTTCCTTGTCATTAAGTTCTTTTTTCTTTTTCTTATTGCTGCTTAACTGTGTGTATTTGTATGTTGTTCAACGAATGTATAGTGTGTGTCCGTGTCCGCGTCTTTTATGTCTCTTTATGCATGTCTTTTGTTTTGTTCCTTGTCTATTGTCTGCCAATGTATGTCTCTTGTTTTGTCCTTGTTTTTTGTCTGTCAATGTTTGTTCATGTATGTCTCATCTTTGGTTCTCTCCTGCCACAGCGTTTCATGTCTCTTTCTTTTTCTATACTCATTGTACTGTAAGGGCTCATAAAGCCGTCAGTTATTGCATAATAAAAATAAAAAAAATACATTCTACGAAATAAAGAAAAGAAAGCATAAAAGTGTCGACTATCATTCAATAAAGAAAGAAAACAGTTGTTCTCATTACAAAAAGGAATCTTTATTTTAATTGGTTTATCATGAAATGAAAATAATTAAAAAAATATGCAATACTTATTGATTATCCATTAGAAAGTAAATAAATTTTTAAAGTTCATTTTGTACTGATTGATTTAACCCGTATTTATCTGATTTAAATTTATTGAAGTTGCTAAAGTTCAAAGATTTTCTAAATTAAGTTTTCTACATATTAAATGTGTAAGATCATCAATTCGAATCGATCATGTTTCTATTTTTAATTCACTTAATCGATTTTTATTAAAACAATTTTTAATAGAATTTTACAAGAAAAAGAATTTACAATTAACGATTGAAGTTCAATACGTTTATCTGGTTGAAATTGGAACATTTAAAAGAAAATCACATAAATACTCTTTCTTATTGTGTTCATTTGAATGAATTATATATATCGATTAAATATTCGTTTTAATGAACGATTAAGATCTTTCTGATGACTAATAATTGTTTAGCATAAGTTGAAAAATGATTAATTAATAATATTGTTAAGCCACCAACAAATTGAACTTTATAAAGCAATTGTGATGGTGGATCATCATTTTTCAGGCGAAATAATATTGTATTTATTATCATTTCAGTTATAATACAACCAATAGACTGGAGATCTTTGAAATTATCAAATAATTCAATTTTAACAAGAGATTCTTTCATTAGAATAAATTCTCGAAATAGCTGTTTGGAAAGTTACGTATTATCTATAATGCCACACTGAAAGTAAATAGTATGTTGCATATTTAAATCTTTTAATGCACTCATAACCATGATTTTATTACTATCACTCATTTGAAAGAACGACTACACATAGTTTATCATAAACATGTATTGTTCGTGGTCCAACTGTAGCAAGTAAATCTAGGTCAGCAAGTTCCAAAGGAACGTTCTTTTGTAAAGCAAATTCACTCATTTGAATATAATCACCAATATCGCTATACAGAACCTAATATCTCTTGATTCAATGAACATTTAGAAATAATACGAATACTTTTTTTCATAGAAATCATTTTGTTTAGTTGCATACCGTTCATGAACTTGTGTACCACCAATATGAATAGCAACATTAGAAATATCGGGTAATTTAGCACCTCAACATTGACCTTCCACAAGTGATATATTCAAGGGAAAAAAGCTCATTCCGAGCCATTCGAATGGCTAGGAATTAGTGTCTTGAAGTAGTTCAAACTATGAAAAAACTTTAAAATTCATTAGAAACATGATTATCGTTATTGTCGAAGTGCTCTGACTACAGGAAGCCTGTTGAAAATAGTATAATCGTTTTCCTTTTTTTTTTGAGCTATCAGAAAGTGAAATAAACAAATTTTGATTCGAAAATTTGTTAATAAATAGACAGACTAAACACTAAAACACTATGAAACTTTTAGCAATAATAAATATGTTCTTTTAAATATATTCCTTCAAAAAGTGAGTATATTTCGAAGAACACATTTGTTATTGCTAAAATTTTCATGGTGTCTTAGTGTTCAGTCGGCCTATGTATTAACAAAATTTCTGAGCAAAATCCGATTATTTCACTTTCTGGTATTTCACAAAAATGTACTTTTTCGATTTAATATGCATACATAGACATATTAGTTATTGTAAAGAGCAAAATATACAAAGTGTTTAGAAAATTGATTCCAAGCATAAAGGAAAACAGATAGTAAAGAATTCGACTGGTCGCTCAGCTAGGTGACTATTTAAATGCTACTACTACTAAATGTATCTTTTTTTTTCGAATTCATTGAATACTATTGAAATCAAATTGAATGAAAAACATTTATGTAACTAGTCTGCTTTATATGATTTTTCTTATGCTTGAAAGTTACTTGAATGTTATAGAAAAATAGTCATTCAGTATGTACAAATGGAGATGATTTAGAATAATTCGGCGTCACGAATATCGCAGGCTGCCAAGGTTAGATGAGAGCAAGACTTTCAATGACTTAAGTGATTGATCAGAGGATTCTTACAAAATTAGTCAGAGTTAAGGAGAGTGCCCAATTTTTTTGAAAATTGATCATCAAAAATATACAATCACTTTGCTCAAGAAAAACAAAATGTTTGTCGGGGACCTAGAACTCAAATCCCTGCTATATGTTTAAAGCAAAAGTACTCCACATCTCAAATGAATTTTTTCCATTTCATCCATATTATTTATGTAGTTGGGTGTGGGTGTGGTTGAGTTAAGAATACAGTCACATCCACACGCTCAAGATAAAGCATGAACCGAGAAAAGTAAACAGCAGATTTTCAAGCTAAGAGTTCAGAGATTCTAAATAAAGCAAAATTCTTATTTCTAAATCTCTGACTTAATGATTAAATAGGCATACCAGAAAGTACTCCAAAAAATTCTTCAAATTATTGCTAAGCTGTAAGCATTTTTTTAGCTTAGATAACTTTGTATTTAATCAAATGATCCTTTTATGGTCAAATTTTTGTGCTAACCACGAATCTGAAGTCATATTTTTGATTCGAGCAATCGTATAAAATATAGTCAACTAATCTAGGATCCGATTGAATACAGAAAAATATTCAATGTCAACATTTGTCGTGTAGAGTAACTATTTTCGCTCAACTTTTATCTGAATAAGCAATATTATCGAAGATGTAGAATTTCAAGGGCTTTCAGAAAATATATGCACTATTTTGGGATGGCATGATCCGGCATGGTTATAGTCAAATTACTGAAAAGTTCCCATTTTAACCAATCATAATTTTTGTCTATGTATTGGTATTATCTACTGATATGTGACGTTGGATAAATAAATCAATCACTACGTTTTGTAGAGAAAACATTTCTCTATCTTTTGAGACATTTTCGAAGTCAAACAATTGAGCGGACGCGGAGGAAAGTATAAAATACTACTAACGCCCTAAAAGCTTCATTTTTTGACCAAATATAAATGGTGTATTACTTGCAAACGCTGGTATTTTTCTCCGGTACATCAGAAAGATCTAATATTTTGGATTCGCTTATGGTTTGACTAGACCTTCAATTTAAAATAGTTAAATCGAAAATCAAAATTTTACCGGCGGCCGAGTTGCTAAGTGGTTCCGCGGACCCTCTCTTAAAGTATTCCACTGACATCAAAATGAAGTTCATGCTATTAAATGGGATCCACTAGGACGTTTACTTGCATAATGTTCTGATGATATGACATTAAAAGTAAATCGCAATGAAAGTAATCATACTCAACTGTATTTGTTATTTTTATTTAGATCTGGAGTATGTCAAAAGAAACACTTGTTCATAATTTCCAAGCACATAATAAAGAAATTTATACAATTAAATGGAGTCCAACTGGTTCAGGAACAACGAATCCAAATGCAACATTACTTTTAGCAAGGTATTATTTAACGACAAATTCTTTTTTTTATATCTTTGAATTTTACGTATATATAGTGCATCATTTGATTCAACTGTACGTTTATGGGATGTTGAACGCGGTGTTTCTCAAAATATACTTGTAAAACATTCGGAACCTGTTTATTCAGTTGCTTTCAGTCCAGATAGTCGCTTATTAGCAACTGGTTCATTTGATAAAGCAATTTATATTTGGGATATTGCAGTAAATAATTTCAAATCATACTTGATATTTATGATGTTATGATGACTGTTTGCTTTTCAGCGAGGAAGAATTGTTCATGGTTATCGAGGTACTCGTGTTGGTGCAAGTGCTTCCGACGGAACAGTAAGTTTTAATGGATCGATAAAAAGAATTCTTTCTTTAGGTCAATGTGTTGTCGTTTTGTTTTTGTTTAATTGTACAAATAACAAAATATCCGTATTGTTGTTATTTGTTGTTCTGATCATCATCATCCCTCCTATCAACGACGATCTCATAGAATTTTATTCATCTTCTTGCACATATGTATTTTGTTTATTTCTTTTCTTTCTCGAAAAAATTCAAAGCAGTGATATGTATGCGATGATGATGAACTCGTGTTCCATTATAAATATTTCATACGAGCATACACAGATGACGACAAACAGACGCAGACAAACAAAAATCTGATGTGAACTCTGTAATAATCAATATAAAAGAATCGCTTATTCCTCTTGGTTAGATCAATGTTCTAGCACGTAAAAACAACTAAGCTTTACTGTTTAACACGTCAGAGATATCAGATTTAATCATAAGCGAGTTTTTGTTTGTCAATTTTAATTCTCATATATAAAATGTTTAAAATCATGACTTTTCACCCAAGTTACACCTACATGATGCGTTATGAGACTATTTATTTGGCATAGAAAGGAGTGTGATTGCCATAAAAGTATGATGGGATCGACAGGACTGCATTATTTCATACTGGTACTTGTCAGGTAAACTTTTAACATCGATTCATTTTTTTTATTCTATGTCCTGCTCTTAATTCATTAGTGTATTGATAGTTCGCGCTAAATGTCAATCATGTGATGGCTTGCCTGAATATGCTTCATGTTCGACGCATTCTGCGTGTGCCTGTTTCCGTATGATTGCTTCTTCTAACTCAAGCATTTGTGTCGACCAATTTCTGCTGTCTTGCTCTGAGCTAGTTCAATGTGAACGCTTAAGCAATACTTGTAATGAATTCGAGCATGTGTGTCTTAATCATTCTCGATGTCATGATTATCCTATTTGTTATCCGGTACCGAGTTTCAATGAACAATTCTGTCCGCCAATAAGTAAGAGCAACACAACAGGAACGACGAGGGTGTGTGGGTGTGAGTCTCCGCTACCCAATCATCCAAACCCACACCCTCGATACGTGCGTGTTGAAATTGAATGAAGGTATTCGTCTCAAAATTCACATCTCGATATTCAAATCCACTACAGAAAACACAAGCGAATGTCGGATTCAGATTAGAGCGAACTTACACATTCTCACCCAAACATCCTATTTCTCTACCTTTGTTTTTCAGCTAGTTTTTTTTCCATATCAAGGTAAGATTTAAAATTCATCTGAACGAGCAAAGAAATAAAAAAGAGATGAAATTAAACTAGTGGCTCTGGTGAAATATCAAATATTCTACAATCTTTCAAATAAAATTCTCTAGCTATTGATGCTCTTCTCAGGATTTCAGAATAGATATTTGGGTGAAAACATTTTTAAACGGAAAATATGGAAGCAACGAAAAAACAGCTTCCTGGCAAACTCATGTGATTGTTCTGTATTTATTCGAAGCAGTCTAAGTGTTTCAGCTGCTCCAAACTGACATTTACGTCATTCTGTTCAGAATTAAATTCTGCAGCCAACGGCATGAAAATAAATGTTTCACTGCGCCGATGGATGATTTAGTAGACGTTAATCTTTTAAATCGTACATTGATAAGAAAAAAAACTATCTGAAAGACAAAGTAGATACTTAGTAGAGAAATAGATTTTCTGCCCGACAAGCTCAGAATCAGATCTTAAGACAATGATCAAGTCCCCGAAAGGCAAAAAAACAAAAGTTGGCCATTCTTTATAGAGCATCCGTTAGTTAAAAAAATTGAGTTATTGCTACAAACTTTAGGAAACACTAAATTCTATATCACGTTTTATGCTGCCAAAAATCAGACTAATTCATTATTTTGTACAAATGCTCTATAATAATGAATATGAAACAACGTTGTAGGCACAACTACAACTACAACGACGAGTACAACTACAACTACAACTACAACAACTATTCAAGAAGGAGGTAAGCTTTTTAGATCATTCTTCTCAATCATCCTCAATTCTTATTTCGAATCGAAGACCTGTAGTTATTTTTACGCTTTGTCACTATGTGGAGATCTAAAGTTTAAGTTGATAAACTTAGTTATTGTATATTATGAGTAATTTAACTGTCAGCATAAGAACAACTGAAGATTTTTCAATTTTCATGTATTATTTAACTATTCTCGGGATAATCGAAATTAGCTTTGCTTTATTGGCATGTTCACATCAATGGGAACTTAGCATGATTATGATCTCCATCGATGAGGCCATTTGTTTACTGACGGTTTTATGAGTCATATGAGTTACGAGCTGACTTCCGTCGAAATGAGAAATTTTTTAACTCTCCTGTAAGCAAAACTGCAAGGTATTAGAAGAAATCCCCGATTGATCGCAAAAAGTAATGCAGTGTTAATGAATTATATTGCTACTGCATCAATGAAATAGTTGCTGAGATTAGATCAAATATTTACAAATTGAAGAACGATACAACCACAAACTCCCAAATTCATAAATCAAAAGACTACAAGCTTCTTTAACTAGAAGCTCAAAGGAGATTTTAGCTTATAGATGTCTACCAAAGGGAAGAAAATGATTCGCATCACGTGGCTTCAGAATTGAAGACAACTTTTCTCCAGATTCGAAGAGAACTACAAATAAGTATTGTTACATTGAGAAAAACATAAAAATTAAGTTCTTTCAACTTTTGGAAACCTTTTCCTAGTTATGATTATAGTATTGCAGTCCTATCCAGCAATAGATGAAATCAGATTATATGCGGATAAAATGATCAACTCCTACACTATTCTTCTGTTCTTCAAATCGAAATCTTCTGTGATTCTGACAAATTTTGAAAGCTTTCTGTTCGAATTTAGCATCTAAACGAGCTCTGACATTCTCTAATTTTCCGTATTGCTTCTAAGACTGGCTGGTAAGATTGTACATTCATAATGAACGATGACAGTATTTTTTCAAAAAACTAATTTATGTTATTTTGTTCCCGGTTTT